AAAACCAGAACCAGAACGAGCTCGCCCGGCGGATAAGAAAGTATCTCGAGATGTTCACGGTGCCGTTTCATCGGGACACCATCCTGACCACCTCCGTCAGCGATGCATCGGTGCTCAACAAGAGTCGGGCCGTATGTAGAGATTCGGATCCAGTATCCAGTACTCAGTATTCCCTATCCAGTATCGAACCACTAACCAACCCGCTGAATTGATTTCAATTTAATGCCTGCGCCTGAGCTTGTGTAATTTGTCTCTATTTACTGCTGCTTGCCTTTTGTTTGTCGTCTTATGTAATGGTTTGTTATGCATGCACTGCTGCGATTGCTTTGTTCTTTTGTTTCCCAACTAATTGCAGCGTTTAGGCCAAGTTAAAAGTCGACTCCCCATATATTTCACTGTACAGCCCTGACTTCCACTCAACACTAATTGATTTACCCTTGAAATAGTCTTGCCATCTCGTCAATAATGAATTCGTTGTGCCATTTCTTTCCACCTTTCGAGTTGGACTTTTATTGAAATTTAAAAGGCCAGAGACAATTCCCATGTAAATGACTCGGATATTCTATTTTGCGGATTACCATATAAAGTGTTTTATTTTTGTAGCTCCTCCTCCGTCTTCAATTTTGTGTTAAATTAAATTCCGCGCGCGTGCCAAACGGCTGAGAAGGGCGGTCAGGAACCAACTTTCGCCCGTAGGCGCCAGAAAAAGTTTCTCGAATTCGTCCTTTATGTGGCACTTGACCATGGCCATGGCGACTTTATTGGCCCTGGTGTCTAAGAGAGCGTTGCAATTGGGAAAAACACTTTTTGTGGCTTTAACTTTTTAGCTGCGTCGATTGTTCACAAAAGCCGTTTCAAGTGCTGAACAAAATAAGGGGTTAAAAGTTTCTAGCGAAAAATAAAAAAAATAATTATGTGTCAAGTGGATGAACCGGTTAAAAAAATTACAGTAAAATGAATATAAAACAAGAGAGAACGCTATAGTCGGGTGCCCCGACTATCAGATACCCGTTACTCAGCTAAAGGGAATGCGAAGGAGATGGAGATAAAAAGTTTGATCCGCCGTAACTTTTTAACGAATGGTCCGATTTAAAAAATTTCTTCTACATTTCGATAGGTATTGATAAACACAACAAAACAGCATTTGTACTTTTCCAAAATATTGAAATTTTTAAAATCGTTTATAAGCGATTGTGGGCGTTAGAGGGGGCGTGGCACCCTTTTGAAACAAACTTGCGCTGCGTAGGAACTCCTAGAATCTGCATGCAAAATGTCAATCTTCTAGCTTTTATAGTTTCCGAGAACTCAGCGTTCATACGGACAGACAGACAGACAGACAGACGGACAGACAGACGGACAGACGGACATGGCTAGATCGACTCGGCTAGTGATCCTGATCAAGAATATATATAGTTTATAGGGTCGGAAACGCTTTCTTCTACCTGTTACATACTTTTGCACGAATCTAATATACCCTTTTACTCTACGAGTAACGGGTATAATTAAACGAGAAAGTGTTAAAAGTTCGAGTAATACATGCATATATATAGCTTTTAAAACTTTGTTTGGTTTATTATACATTTTTCATTCATTTTTCATTTAAAAAAATAAAAATTGTTATACATTAAGAATACTATACGTTGTTTTATATACACAGATTTGAAAAGCGTTACAAAGCTTTTATAAAACGTATAATAATCTTTGCAAGGGTACACAAATAAAAAGATTAGAAATATCATTAAATTTCAATTGAATTAGAGGCTTTCAGGAACCGGTCACAAATTGCCGGGCAATATAATATTTCCGATCAACTTTGAGCTCCGACTTGTTTAGAAAAGGAATTAAGTAGTAATTTAAGCTACATGCTAAAGTATACCATTAGGCGTTATTACCGTCAAGCTTTTCGCCAGCTTCTAAATGCATTCAATTTATATCGAACGTCGTTCTCCAATGGGCTAATGATATTTGAGTCACAATTCGAATTAGCGCAGGATAAACAACGCTTTCGGAGCTTGGTTAGTAGATGATAAACACAATAAATGGGCCGGAACGAATGTCCACAAACCTAACCGGATCGAACCCGGCAGCGTCACCAATTGGCAGGGAAATGCGTTGCAGTCTTGACCTTAAAGCGACTCTAAATCAAATGTAAACAAGTTCGTTTGATGTAATGGAATGGCCATACCCATTGTGGGTTGAATTGATCCGTCCTTTGGCGGGACTGGGTTCAACAAACCCAGCCACAGGGCGCAGTGGCTGGGGCTTTTGATGCCAGTCCAGGTCTTTACTATTCACAAGGCGCACCGACACCGCACATTGCAATTTCAAATTGCATAAAAAGTCATAAAACAGCAAACGAGTGGCGATAACAGCAAACAGACACGACTGTGGGCAAAAAGATGACATAAAAACGCTGACATGAAACATTAAATATTGCTGTTCAGACATGTGACAAAATTTGCAAGCCCGGTATTCCCGGAAATATTTGATATATAACAAAAAAGTAGTATCCTATGCTAAAAAGGGTGACTTTTGAAAGGTTGAATGACCAATGCATTGACATACATTTCTAGAAGCATAAACCCCTCTGAAGGCAATGCCATATTTACCAAAAAGTTAATTTTTAAGCATTTTATTTTTTTTAAATCAATCATATTTATTTAATTTTTACACTAGAAATAAGTTGGGTTACAGTTAAATCCAATAAGTAGAGAAAATCAGAAATCATCAGTGACCTTCAATAAATAATTCTATTTATTCCAGAAATAATTATATTCTTAGGGTTGTGCAAAATCGTTATGGCACACTTACTGTTTTACTGCTTCCAGTTTCCATGACGAGTTAAACCCTTTTTTAAAAATATTTTTTAAGCTTTTGAAATGCAAAACAGTTGAGGGACATAAAAATACCCATAAAATCGCAGGCGATTATAAACGCGTGCAAATCGCCTGTAAATCGCTTGTAATTTGACTTTGTCGTCACTGCGGCCTGTCAAGGTTATTGCGTTCTGTCTCGGGCAGATTAAGCCCCGTCAATTCGGTATTATATATGCACATTGTTATTAAAAAGTAATGCAACAACAGCAATAGTGCAAACACGTAAAAATGGAGGAAAAAGACAAAGTCATCAAGTGAAACGCGAGGCGAACGTGACGTTGAATTGAATTCCTGCGAACAGTTTTTCATTATTTATGTGCGATGCTTGATTTTTTTGTTTCGCTTAAACAATAATAATAAAAAGGAGAAACACACATGCATATATTGTCAGACGGTTTGAAAAACACGCGTGCCGCACAAATCCAAAGCAATGTATACAGTTGCGGTTCAAGCCATAGAACATTTGTATATACAATGCTTAAAAATAAATATTAAGCTGGACACCCAGTTTGTTTTAAGTAGTCCTATGCAGTTGTCTTGCCTTACAATGCAAAATAATTCTTACATTATTGCTTCATATTTAAAACCTCTTTGAAGGAAAAGATTAAAAATATTAAACATCTCATTGCATATATCTCAACGCATCAACTTTTTGTATGAGACAATGTCATGATTTTTATAAATACTAGTAAATTCCATTAATTTTGATTGTTACTTAAAATTCTAGCCCATAAATAAATGACATTCTTAAGACTTAAACCCAAAAAATGAGTAATATGTTCGATTTGTCTTCGATATAGCGAGATAAATTAGTGTTATTATTATGCCCGCAGCTGTAGCAAAAATATATATTCAACCTATTGGTCAACTTGCTCTGAAGATGTCGTCACGATCACTCGGCAAACGACTGATCACGACGAAGAAGCAGAGGGGACCGTCCCAAAATAAGAATGAAAATTTAAATCAATTTAGGAAGATAACTTTTTCATTTGTTTGTGTGTCCGAATTCGTGCCTTAAAATTGCTGATAAATGACAATTAGTTGTGGTCCACACTAATGTATCTTCGAGATATTTTGTGTACAAGCAACGCATCTGACGGACAGCTGCATCCCCTGGGAGAAGGATGACATTGGACTTTTAACTTGCTGGCACCCGCCAAAATCATTTCTGGCAGCTTTTCAATGCAAAACTGGGACGCCGGACGGACAGCCCGATCTCTCGTTCAAGGAACGCCGCCGAGAGAGCCGCAAGTCTCTCGGCAGCGCATCATCATCACGCCGGGAGCAGCTGATGCATCCACCGATGCCGAAGCTTTCGGGCAGACATTGCGTCGGCATGACCATTGAACATGATCACTGTGAGTCACAAAGTCTCCCAGTTTTATCTCGGTTTGCGGCTGGCTGCCTCATCGGCTTGACATATATCTGGATTTTTTTCGTATATTGTTCATAAATCAACTGGGAGAGCTAAAATATTTGATGTTGCAATGCATTTTATTTGGTTTACAGATCCAAATTAGAAATTATAGCTTCTTTATTTTGGTTTTCTTCAATTTTTTCGATTTGACAGAAAAAAATAAAAATCTATGTATTTGCTAAAGAAAAACATAATAATATTGCAAAATTTAACAAATATTCCCCAACAAAAAAGGTTTTCGGTTTGTTTAGGCTACAAACCATAAAAAAATCCTCTGCACATTAAGTAAGAATGTCTTGATCCCTCCAAAATAACTGGAATTTGATGGGTTTTTCAGAATACTGTCAAAAAGAATATAACCCTACCGCAGTCAAGCTGCATTATCCCAGTCACGAAGTGGTCACAGCTGAAATTATGGCAGGAAAGTCCAGCAAACTTTGCTCCGAACTTTCAAAGCATCTCCCGAAACCCCTTAAGTGGCACCACAAAAATTGTCATAAACTCAGGGGCAGTAAAACTCATGGCGGGGAGGAATATGGGATAGATGGGAAGTGCGATGAAACCGAAGGACACCAAGTCATCCATCAAATTGAGAGGACATAACTTTTGCTCTTGTACTGACTGCACGTTGCTAACTCTCCCCTCAAATCCCAGACACACAAAAAATTAGTGCCTAACCCGTGTTTTCTTATGCGAATCTTTTGTAGATGGCCGAGCTGATGCACCAGATGTGGGATCCGGCCCACACGCTCGGCGGTTCCGTGGGCAGCATTCCACAGACGCTGATCGGCGGCGGAGGCGGCAGCCACGGCTCCTCCAACGGAGCTCTGAATGGAATCCATGCCACTCCCGCCACGAATCTGAAGATGAGCGAGGCGATGCGCAGTGCCCAGCATGACACGAGCCCCAATCCCGTCAGTTCCAAGATGAAGGCCTCCAAGTCGTACACCCATGGCTTGAGCAGCTCCTCGGGCACGGTGAACATTCCCACGTCCACATCGGCCCAGAGCAATCTCTCCCTGCTGGCGGACATCTCGCCGAATCACACGCACTTCTTCGAGGTGATGTACGTGGGCAAGATTCGGGTCTCCCAGAAGCGAGTGCCCAACACCTTCATCGACGACGCCCTGCCCAAGTTCAAGGCGTACGACGCCCAGCGCCTGAGGCTCCTCCAGAACCGAAAGATGTCCCTTAGCAGTGAGGGTGGTGTGGGTATTGAGGCGAAGGCCGGCAGTTCCCTCAAGAGTCACGACCTCAAGGAGGAAGATGAGGAAGAACAGGAGCACAGTCAGCGAAAGGAAGGGGAGCAGGATGCAGCGGCAAAACCCCTGGTACAGCTGCAGTTGACGGGCGCCGAGGAAGGAGCTGCCCCAAGACCCCTGGAGGACAACAAGGAAAACAAATCGCCCGAGAAAAGGACTCTGTTACGAGGTCAGAGCCAAATCGAACTGGGCCACAAGGACCAGTAAGTATCCAGTCATTCGAGTACCTTTTCCCCTGACATTTCGACCAACGAACAACTTCTCCATCTTGCCGAAAACCCCAAAGCTCTGACGGTTCTGAGCCATCAGCAGCCAATAGCCAACTGGATGCACCCAATGTCATTGTAAACAAGCAGCCCACGCCGCCTAGGGAACAGGGCGTGGCCTCTGGGAACGGGAATGGGGGTGCCATTTCCGCTTCTGCGGGCCCCAGTCAGCTGCATCCCAATTATGCGATGGAGAAGTAAGAATAAAAGGACCAGCAATTCCGTCGCATGATTAGTTTGTTTTAGTTTCCTCGTTTCTGTGCACAGCATTTGCCGTGGCTTTTTATATTCCTTTGAGATCCTGATCTTGATTTAAATTACATTGCTAATGCCTAAATCAAAATTTTTTCTGCAACTTTAGCATATATTTTTATTTAAAATATTATTTTATAGCATGTTTAACATTTGTTGAGCGAAGTAAGGGGTTAGGTACTCTAATACAAGCCATAACTTTTATTTGTATTTTAAAGAAAACTATAAGTTCAACTGGTTTCATTTCTTGTCGCTGAACGAACGTTTTTTTTTTTAATCTTGAATTTCATAAAGTCGATAAATGTACTTAAATTAAAAAAAAATTTCAATGTTATTGCACAAAAAAGAATTTCCAAGGCAAAGGTGATTTTTTTCCAGCTGCCTTAATAACCCCTTAACTTTTGAATCTCTTTGAAAACTTTTTACTAATATTAATAATTATTTAATGATATTATAATTATGCATCAAAACTGCTCGCTTCAAAGACTTGTGTACTAAACAACTACTTCTAACTTGATCTAAAACGAATGGCTTAAAAGATTCTCAAGGAAGATAATGCCAAAATAGTCTTACTTTCGATCCCTTAATAGTTTATCCCCTTTTCGTTTGTTTCGCTTGCCCAGTAGCACCCATCGCTTCCCCCTTTTATTAGTCGCATGACACCGCCCAAAGCACCTAGAATTTGGAGCACCGAAATCTGTTTCTGTTCAGACACTAACTCCTCCATTTTCAGCATACCCAAGCTGAGGGATCGCTCCGCTTCGCAGGGCTGCATTCCGCCATTTGTGGAACAGAACAGGACGATGGTGTTTCTGGTAGGACGATGCGATCTCCGCCTCATCTCTCCCGACCGCAAGCAGGTGCTCCTCTACAAGGACTTCAAGGACGTGGCCAGTTGTGTCCATGGTCAGAAGTCGCTGGACCACTTTGGCATCATTTGTCGGGAGCTGAACAACGACGGCTACATTGGCTACGTGTTCAAGTGCCAGTCGGAGCACGTTTGTGATGACATTGTGGCCGCCATCGCTCAGGCCTTTGACACCTGCGCGGAGCAAAAGAAGAAACAGGAGACCCAAATCTTCAGCTGCGAGCACTGCCCGATGCTCTGGTACCACAAACTCTGCACGGATGTCGAGGGACTCTCCGAGAAGAAGACCCAGGCCCTGATCCTGCGTCGCATCGAAACCCTCAGTGACGACGAGCAGGAGATCGTGTGGGCCAAGTTTTGCGGCTCGGAGAAGACCAACTCACCGGTGGCCGAGCAAAACCAGTTCCTCATGATGCTGCTAAGGGCGCACTGCGAGTCCAGGCAGCAAAGGCATGTCCACGACACCGCCGAGAACAGGTCGGAGTTCCTCAACCAGTATCTCGGCGGCAGCACCATCTTCATGAAGGCCAAGCGCTCGCTGACCAACTCGTTTGACAATCTCCTCAAACGCAAGCCCTCCAAGGATGATATTGCCGTTCCGCCACACAATTTAAGGGATATCAGGGAGGGATCCGCCGAGCCCCTGGGCACACAGTCGCCTCCCGAGGGCTTTCGCTCGCGATCGAATACGGTGGGTGCCAGTCCCAGCAGCAAGCCCACAGCTGAACAGCTAAAGAGCCCCATGATGGATATGTAAGTAGAGAAATCAATCTTTTTCTAGGAGCCTTACCAATAATAAATTTTACTCCACATAGATTCATCAAGGTGGGCAATAGTCCCAAAGAGGCGGAAACCCACCAGGGCTCCTGGCGCCAGGCAATACTCAATAGTGTTGTGACGCCCTCCAAGGGTCTAGACAGCGAGGTGCCCACCGAGTTTCTATCGCCGATGCGCAAACGTAAGTCTTTCCTATATCATATATAGAAATATGTAAAAATTCATCAAATTCTTTTTAAATAACAGCTGTGAAACGTGGCAAGCGGGATGCGGCGGAGCTGAGGGAGCTGTGGCGCACTGCCATCCGGCAGACTATCATGCTGAACCGCATGGAGACGGAGAACGCCATGTTGCAGGCACGCCAGAACGAGAACGAGCTGAAGCGCATTAAGTTGGACTACGAGGAGATTGTGCCCTGCGACAAGCAGCTAATCGAGCGCTGGGAGCAGATTATCGAGCGCAACTCCACGCAGATTGGCAACAAGAAGGATCCCAAGGTTTTGGGTCACGCCATCCGCACGGGAGTACCCCGATCGAAGCGCGGCGACGTGTGGACCTTCCTGGCCGAGCAGCATTCCATGAACACGGCTCCGGTCGACACAAAGCGCTTTCCCAACTTCAATACGCCGTATCACACCTTGCTGAAACACCTCACCGAACATCAGCACGCAATCTTCATCGATCTGGGCAGGACTTTTCCCAATCATCAGTTCTACAAGGATCCCCTGGGACTCGGGCAGTTGTCGCTGTTCAACCTGCTGAAGGCATACTCCATTCTCGATCCCGAGCTGGGATACTGCCAGGGTCTAGGATTCATCTGCGGCGTATTACTCCTGCATGTGGGTTTCCCTTGAGCGAATTCTGTGAAGACAATTCCTTGATTTCTGTTTCTTTCCAGTGCGATGAGTCCAACGCGTTTCAGCTTCTGAAGCACTTGATGTTCCGCCGTAATATGCGCACAAAATACCTGCCCGACATGAAAAAGTTTCAGCTGCAGCTGTACCAGCTCTCCCGATTGGTGAAGGATCACTTGCCGGATCTGTATGTGTGGCTCGATCAAAACGACGTTTCGCCCACTCTGTATGCCGCTCCCTGGATTCTCACTGTCTTCAGCTCCCAGTTTCCGCTGGGATTCGTGGCCCGCGTTTTCGATCTGCTCTTCCTGGAATCCTCCGATGTAATCTTTAAGTTTGCCATTGCTCTGCTCTCGGTGCACAAGCAGCAACTTCTGGCCAAAGACAACTTCGAGGAGATCATGGACTATTTGAAGACGGTGGTGCCCAAGATAGAGCCCAACTGCATGGAGCAGATTATGAAGCTGGTCTTCAGCATGGACATAGGCAAGCAGCTGGCCGAGTACAATGTGGAGTACAACGTGCTGCAGGAGGAGATCACCACCACCAATCATCACCTGGAAATGCTGAACAGGGAGAAGACGCAGAACCAGCATCTGGAGCAGCAATTGCAGGTAAGTAATTGAGTTAAAACATTTTAAACAATATTGATTAATCTTTCATTTTGCAGTTTGCTCAATCGTCGATTGCTCAGCTGGAGACTACACGCTCCTCCCAGCAGGCTCAGATCACCACGCTTCAATCGCAAGTTCAGTCCCTAGAGCTCACCATCCAGACACTCGGTCGGTACGTCGGCCAACTGGTGGAGCACAACCCCGACCTGGAGCTGCCAAACGAGGTGCGTCGCATGCTCCAGCAGCTGGACGACCTAGAACGCCAGCGTCGCAAACCCATCTTCACCGAGCGCAAAATCGGCAAGTCCATTTCCGTCAACAGTCACTTGGGGTTTCCACTCAAGGTGCTCGAAGAGCTGACCGAAAGAGACGAACATGGTTCGCCACAAAAGCAGAAGAAGGAGAAGACACCTTTTTTTGAGCAGTTGCGCCAGCAGCAGCAGCAGCATCGCCTCAACGGGCAGTCCTCCAATGCCAGCGAGTCGTTGTCCCCGACGCCACCCTCGCGACCCAATCGTCTACTGGACAATGCCAGCGCCCGGACCGTCATGCAAGTGAAGCTGGACGAGCTCAAGCTGCCGGAACATGTGGACAAGTTTGTGGCGAATATCAAAAGCCCGTTGGAGGTGGACTCGGGCGTTGGCACGCCCCTCAGTCCGCCCAGCACGGCCAGTAACAGCAGCGGAGGAAGCATATTCAGTCGCATGGGCTACCGGACCACGCCCCCGGCTCTCTCTCCGCTGGCCCAGCGCCAGAGTTACGGAGTGGCCGTCACCACAGCTCCGTCTCCCCAGCACATGGAGGAGGTGCCGCCAGCGACGACGATGGCTGTTATTGCGCGAGAGGATGTCGAGGAGCCGCAGGCCATGCATCCGCTCAGCATGGTCGGAGGCGATGTAAACGTGCGCTTCAAGGGCACCACACAGCTCAAGTCCATACGTCCGGTGCACCATATGCGAGCTATTCCGCTGGGTGGAGTCCAGCACCAGTCCAGCACGGAGTCCGCGGTGCGAGTGGCTCCTGTGCCCGTGGAGCTGGCACCGCCCGCGGCCACGGCGACCACCGGTCGCAGCTAACGGTTCTGATTCATCGGGAAACTGCTGCGCGGATTTTATCGCGATTAGGGCCCGAAGGCAGATCGGGCAGCTTAGTAACCCAACGCTACTCATAACCTCTTCTGTTGCGGCTTAGATACGATTAACCCAACCTATAAGATATAAACTTCAGCTACTTCGTTTTCAAATTGTGTGTATGTGTCGATGTGCGCACAAAATGTTGCCATAGATATTGCTCCGAAAGTTATGCAATCGTTATAAACTGATGCCCCAAATACTAGACAAGTATACATGCTTATAGGAATAAATTGGATAATGCTTTTTCAAGGTTTTATAAATTTGGCTACCGCATCAAAATCGAAGCTTATAACCTTAGGCAACCTTAGGCCGAAAAACAACAAAATCAAAAGAAGCATTAATGAGTCTGTAGTCTGTTTTAGTTTTCCCCTTTCTATTGACTTAATAACACTATGCAGCATCAAAAATTAACCTCAATAAATGGTATATTTTTGGATTCGTTACGAATTCCCAAGTTAAACTGCGTTTTCCAAAGAGTTCCCCGACGCAAGGATTCTTAGCAAAAGGACCTCAAAGTTCGAAAAATGCTGAAATTGACCAACTTTGCGGAGCTCTCAGAGGCAAATGGATGTATGGCTTGGTTCGAAGTTAAGGTTTTTTAAAAGATACACCCTTTATCTTTCAAACCCCATACATAAAATAATTTTTTGATTTTTTTTACGGCAGAAATAAATTTCAAAAAACAACTGAAAAACATACAGCTGCGGTCAAAATAGTAGCAGTGTTGCCGCCTTGTGTTTTTAAAAGTTTCATGTTGTAATTTTTTCTTATCCAATTAGTCTAATAGTAAAATTATAATCATACAATATTACCAGGAAAAGGTCAATTACAACAACAAACTTTTAAATACACAGGGCGGCAACACTACTACCATTTTGACCGCAGCTGTATACTTTTATGTTTTTTGACTATGTTTTCTAGAATTTGTTTCTGCCTTAAAAAAAATCTTAAACATTTTTTAAGTATGGGGTTTAAAAGATAAAGGGTGTATCTTTTAAAAAACTTTAACATCGAATCAAACCATGCATCCATTTGCCTCTGAGAGCTCCGCAAAGTTGACCAATTTCAGCATTTTCCGAACTTTGAGGTCCTTTTGCTAAGAATCCTTGCGTCGGGGAACTTTTTGGAAAACGCAGTTTAACTTGGGAATTCGTAACGAATTAAAAAATATAGCATCCATCGAGGTAAATTTAAAAAGCACTAAAAATGCTGCACAGTGTAATTTACGAATTTACTTAGTAGCTTACTTGTTGATTTTGATGTTTCTTTAGTTCTAGACCATTAGTTCTTAATGTTATTCTTAATTTACCTATATTTGTACATTTCTCCCAGGGTTTTACTTTGCAATGTAAACTAAAGTCAGATACCTAATGTATAAAACAATACCGACGATACTTGCTTGTACATTGTTCTTGAGTAGGATACAACTTTCTGAAATCTCTTTCATTATGATTATGGTACTTGGATTGTATTGATTGTTTACATATATACGATTATTAAAATATGAATAATTCAAGCAAAGGAAATTATATTTGCTTTTGTGTTAAGTACTTATGTATGTATTGCTTAGCTGGACGGCTTTTATCAGGCGTCCGGAGTTTGTGTAGCTGATTTCTGTTAGACTATGAGTAAAATCAACAACAATTACATGAAAACAGTAATAAAGTCAAAAATTATTTAATCAAAAATGATTTGGAAATTTTTGAGCTATTTTATATGTTGGTAAGGTATTCCAGTCTTTTTTTCAATGTACCCCCAATAAGGCGCCATGAACCCAAACATTTTGGTTTTAAATGGTAATATTTATAATTTATTCAGGTAAGGTTATTTTCTAAATTCAAAAAAGCTGCATTTGCTACAATTTCTAGTTATTTATTAAAATACAAAACAATTATCCCTATTTTATTAGTATATCACACAGAAGTTAATGCTTATATGCTATGTTATTGACAATCCAAGTCTCCTAAGTCCGGCATATACTATATTCTCACTATCGATTAAAAAAGTTAGTCTAATGAAAACATCACAGTTTTAGTCAAACTAAAATTCAAGAAATTCTTCTTTTTTATTAAAAATGGCTGAAAAATTTTAAAAATTAATGTGGCACTGAAACATCTAAGCTAGGGAAAAACTTGTTTCAAAAGCCAATTCAGCTACACTCTGAGCAGAGACTTGTAGCTCCTCAAAGTGTGGCTGAGTTGGTTTTTGTGGAGGAGAGGATGGCATGTCCTGGTCCTGCCTTCAAACCCCACCAAACCATCCTGCTTTAAGCGTGTATGTACATTAAGGTCTACAGTCCGTCGGTTCAACTAACTAGTTACAAGCTACCCTAAGGACATGCATCCTTTCTACTCCTTAAACTCTGTCTTAAAGCTAAACTCCGCCTTGGGCTGCTGGACTCCAACGCCATTTGCCGCCGCTGCCGCCGCCGCTGCTGCTGAAGCGGCGCTCAGAGCTGCCAGATTCCCGAGCACAGAAGGGTTCTGGGTCATTCCGGGATAGAGGTTCTGGTAGAAGAGCGGATTCTGCAGCTGGAACATGGCCATCAGGTGGGTGAGCTGGAAGTTCGGGGCCGAGGGGTCCACTCCAGGAGCAGAGGCAGCGGGAAGCAGGCCGGCAAATAGACCATTGGTCAGCGGATGAACTGCGGCCGTTGGCTGGGACTGAGGCATGAACAGGGCGGGATTGGTGGTATCATCCTCCAACTTGAGACGCTTGGCATCCGACTGCTGAACATCGGCGGGCAATTGCTGTAAATGGAAAGTATAAATATATATGCACATTTAATTTAGAATTTATAAATATATACTTACGATTTTCTTGGGAGGCCTGCCGCGTTTGCGAGCCAGAAAATGCTCGGCGGAGAGGGAGGAGAGCGGAGTGGAGGCGTTGCTGCCACAAGCGGAGTTGCTCACTTGAGGTTGGCTAACGCTAATGGCCGGCTGCTGGGGGGTGGCATCCAGCGAGGACTCCTCCACATCCTGCTTGACCTTGAACTGCTGGTAGGCCTGCTCGCCGTCCTGACGGTCGTGCTTCCTCTTGTGGCTGATCATCTGGCTGCTGGAGTGCAGGATGTAGTCGCAGCCCTCGCGGACGCAGTGGATGTGGTTGCAGACGGTGGAAAACTTGCAGGCCTCGAAGGGACACGTCTCGGTCTTCAGGATCTTCTTGAAGCCATCCATCTTCAGCTGGTGGTCCTTCAGGTGGTAGGTCTTGTGTTTGTCTAAGGAAAGAAATAATAAATAAATTAAAATAATTAATATAAAGTGGGGATATCACAGAATCCTTTAAAGGGTATTCTTAAATCTCTCTTTTTACTACCTCTACTGACTTTATCCTAGCAATAATAGTGGACTTACCCATGTCAGCCTTGTTCTTGAAGGTGTGATTGCAGCCCTCGCGACAGCAGTGGTAGTGCGAGATCTTCTTGCCGAAGAAGGGGCAATCCTCGATGCGGCAGTTTTCGTGGGCTCGGAAGCGTCGGAAGCCCTCGTTCACGATCTCGGAGTCCTTGCGGTGGAAGTTGGCGTGCATCTGGACGTCGCTGGTGCTCACATACACCTTCGGGCAGTGCTCGTAGACGCAGTGGTAGTGGGTTTGCTTCCAGTTGTAGGCACAGCCCTCTCCGTAGGCCGGAGCACAGTCGTCCGCCGAGGAGAAGCGGGCAAAGCCCAGCTTGAGGCTCTCCTTGCGCTTCTTGTGCCACTTGAGGTGCCGGATGATGTCGTCCTTCTTGCTCAGGATCTTGCCCTGGCAGGGCTCCTCGTGGCAGTGGAAGTGCTCCCGCAGGTTCTCCTGCCGGCACAGGCTGTTCTCGCACTCCAGGTAGGAGGACACCTTGCGCAGGTTCTTCAGAACCTCCTCGTTTTGGAGAAGTGCATCCAGGCCGCTGGCCGCCGAGAGGCTGACCAGGCTCTTGCTCTGCTCACTGGAAGGGGGGGTCAGTAGGGAGATGGTCTGGGTCTGTTGGAGGGGAGTGTTGGGGGTCAGTTCGCTTTCGACGGGCGTGATGTTGTACGATGAGTCCGCCGGCTGCTTGACGGGCGTGTACTGCAAAGAGTGGGAAGAGGGAGGGACAACGTTATAGCATACTCTTGGATACATTTGTCGGGCCAATCTCAGTCTCAGACTGCCTGGTGCCCACAGCTGGGGAACCCACGCGTTGCCGACACAGCTGTTTGTTTTCCTTGGAATCGCGATCTTTCTGTTTACCCTCACACTTGAAGTTTTCAAATCACGAATTGTTTCATGTATATCTCTCAAATTACAGCAACAGAGCGTGGGATATTCCCAAAAAAAAAAACAAAGCAAAATAGGGAACAAAAATTAAAACTGGACATTATTAAATTCTAATTTAAATTTCTTTTGTGAAAGATGACAATATAGAAACATGAATTTAATTTCACTAAGAGTTAATTGGGAATATACAAGTATAATTAAGCCCCCGATTCTGAAGGATCACTTACCATGCTGGGTGAGTCAAGGCTGTCGGTGGTTGACTCCAGCGGATGGACGCCCGACAGGAGCAGCTTCTCGGAGCTGGCGTTGGTGCGGCCCGAGGAACTGCAGCTGTTGAGGCTGGACAGCGGCTTGTCATCGTCCTCGTCGTCGGCGGAGTCCTGCTCAAACTTGATTGTGACCGCCGAAAGGTTGCCGGCAGTTGCTCCTGCTGAGGTCGCTGGTGTGGCTGCCTTCTCGATTGGCGTGGATGTCACTGTGGAGGATTGCAGAAAATTATTTGTGGTAAACTGTTCGGAGCCGGCTAGTTGGCCCAGCAGCAACTGATGTTGCGGCGGATCCAGCTTTCCCAGGGAACTGGGGGTGTGGGAGGGTGTTAGTAGGAGGTTGGAGGTGGTCAGCAAATGTTGCTGCTGCTGCTGTTGCTGTTGCTGCAACATGTACTGCGTCAGCGGGGGCAGGCTGTTGAGCAACATTTGGCCCACCAGGTTGTGTGTGTTGTTGTTAGGTGGTGTTGCTGCTGTAGCGCCTGTATATTGTTGTGGTTGAAAAGCAATCAAATTACTATTGGGACTACAACTACGGCTACTACTACAGTTGGTGTTTTGCGAGCTAATGCGTTTGTGCGTTCTTGTCTTGAGAGGATCTGGCTGTGGCTGTTGCTGTTGCGAGAGTTGCTGTTGCTGCTGCTGCTGTTCGTGTTGCTGCTGCAGGCAAGTGCTGCTCGAGATATCCTCGTTCTGGGTGTAGGTGTATCCAGCCAGCGGTTGCTGCTGCTGTTGCTG